CGATATACGAGCACGTTGAGGCGATATACGGGCACGTTGAGGCGATATACGGGCACGTTGAGGCGATATACGGGCACGTTGAGGCGATATACGGGTACGTTGAGGCTATATACGGGCACGTTGAGGCTATATACGGGCACGTTGAGGCGATATACGGGTACGTTGAGGCGATATACGGGTACGTTGAGGCTATATACGGGCACGTTGAGGCGATATACGGGTACGTTGAGGCTATATACGGGCACGTTGATGTAATGCCCCTAATTGTAATACCTCGCCTTGTATCTATCTCGACCGCGCACTCCGCTACTACCACTGAGCTAACCGTGCAATCTCCGCTCTTTCTATGGTAATAACAGATGCTATACCGATCATATAAGATGTTAACACTCGGGCCGTCATACGAAGACGTAAACCAGTACACAGAGGAAGGAGAGAGAGAGGAAGAGGGAGGCAGAGCGAGAGGAGAGAGAGAGGAGAGCGAGAACGAGAGCAAGGGAGGGAGAACGAGAGCGAGTGAGGGCGAGGGAGAGTGAGACACTAGTGAGGGAGAGTGAGACAGAAAGATAGAGATAATCGTAGTCACAACCTATCGTATGAGTTACCGAGTGACGCTGCCACCACCCTGAGTTACCGGACAGGGGACCGGAGTGAGAGTCGTAGGTCTTGCAGATGGAGTAACCTACCAGGACAGGTGTAGGGGACAATTGAACGGTACAAGGATCCTGGCCTGACACTCGAATAATCCTGACCACTTGGGAACTATAGTGTACACAAGAATAAGGCGGGACACACCAACACTAACGCCTCAACACGGAAGACGAACGGGGGGAGGAGTACTGAATAATTAAGAGCACTAGGTCACTAGGGCAAAGGGGACGGTAGGCCCAATATCACTAAAGCAAGGAACCATTAATACACATTTAATAACACTTAATATCTGACTTTATTTGAAATAATTAAATAAGACACTCCCTAACTATATTCCCTACTAGAGGCCAAGGGTACTGAATGAGGTGCTTTAGTACAAGAGAGCCGTACTTACTCGTATGTTGTTCCACAGTTTCCCTGGAGATGATGTTCTTTCCCAGAGTCCACACACACCTCCCTACTGGGCTGTGCCCACTCAACTGACTCTCCTGATCTACTGCTCCTCAGCTGAACATGAGGGTTTTGCATTTGTTGTTTAGGGGTTAATCCCTGAAGATTACCATGACGGCATCAATTCTGACCTCTTTGTGATTCGATGACCGTTGACCTGACTCTATGGCTAACTTATACAGAGGTGTAACTTTTACATTGTCTGCCGTCGCCTGACTGGCGCCTGTGGGTTGTTCATCCTCCACGTGGCCTGTTCATGCTGTTATGATGTTCATGTACTATGTACTGCTCTCTTGTTACATTGAGGCGATATACGGGCACGTTGAGGCGATATACGGGCACGTTGAGGCGATATACGAGCACGTTGAGGCGATATACGAGCACGTTGAGGCGATATACGAGCACGTAGAGGCGATATACGAGCACATAGAGGCGATATACGAGCACATAGAGGCGATATACGAGCACATAGAGGTGATATACGAGCAGGTTGAGACGGGTCGTGTGAGTGTCATAAGGTGTGACACTTAACGCCAAGTTTACTCCGCCCGAGTCTCTCCTAACTTCGGAAATTTTGCTGTGAAAAGTTCACAGGAGTTGGAAAATTGTCAGTGTTCGCGAAAGGTAAAGAACACTGCTCGAAGTTTAGATTAAAGTTCTAAATTAAGTAGTGTGCGTACGAGTAGTTTTTGTGCATAGTTACCATAGTTTGTGTCGTTGAGGTGTCGACCTCTTGTTGGTTCCAAGTGTCAACGTCGTCCTCCTGGTTGATGGACTGGTCAACCAGGCTGTTGGACGCGGCTGCTTGCAGCCTGACGTATGAGTCACAGCCTGGTTGATCAGGTAATCTTTGGAGGCGTTTGTCGAGTTCTCTCTTGAACACTGTGAGGGGTCGGCCAGTTATGTCCCTTATGTGTAGTGGAAGCGTGTTGGACAGTCTCGGGCCTCTGATGTTGATAGTTCTCTCTTGAACACTGTGAGGTGTCGGCCAGTTATGTCCCTTATGTGTAGTGGAAGCGTGTTGGACAGTCTCGGGCCTCTGATGTTGATAGTTCTCTCTTGAACACTGTGAGGGGTCGGCCAGTTATGTCCCTTATGTGTAGTGGAAGCGTGTTGAACAGTCTCGGGCCTCTGATGTTGATAGTTCTCTCTTGAACACTGTGAGGGGCCGGCCAGTTATGTCC